GGGCCTGGAGATATCCCACTTTTACAACTGATCTCCAGCTGACAGAGATCAGTTCCCCTGGAGAAAACAGCCGCTTTGGAGGGTGGACTCTGTGGCCTTGTACCATGCTGAGGTCCCTCCCCTCCCCAAACCCTGCCCTCTCCCGGCTCCACCCCCCAAAGTCTCCAGGTCTTTCCCAACCCAGACCTGGCAACCCTACTGCCATTGGCCTGATCCAACATTGGCTTCCCTTGTGTTCTTAAGTCAGTAACTGTGCGAACTGGCAAAATCCAATTCAAAAGTGCACTGAAAGCTGATTATTTGGTGTGTGTGATGGCAGCCACAGAAATGAGCCGTCAAGCCATAGAAGCAGAGGTTGAATTTGGTCCTAAGTAATTTCAGCAGTTCGAGACCCGGGTGCCGCATGATGGAGTGAGCTCCCATCTCTAGTTCCAGCTCCTGCCAACCTAGCAGTTCGAAAGCAAGAAATTGCAAGTAGATAAAGAGGTACCACTTCGGTGGGAAGGTAACAGTGTTCCATGCGCCTTGGTGTTTAGTCATGCCGGCCACATGACCACGGAAACGTCTTCGGACAGCTCGGACAGCGCTGGCTCTTCAGCTTTGAAATGGAGATGAGCATTGCAACCCTAGAGTCAGATTTGATTAGCTTTCAAGCAAGGGAACCTTTACCTTTTAACACTCAAGACCTGGTGAGAGATGTAAAAGTAATTGCACCGCTTGGGAACAGTGATCATAATGTTGTTGAGTTCAACATTTGTATAAGTAGGGAATTGGCCAAAAAGACTCACACAACCACTTTTAACTTTAAAAGGGGTAACTTCTCTGATATGAGGGGACATGTGGGGAGGAAACTGAAAGGAATAGTAGAAAGGGTCAAAACCATTGGGGAAGCTTGGGAACTATTTAAAACTACGATCCTAGAAGCTCAGAAAAAATATATTTCGCAGGTTAGGAAAAGCACAAAAAGGTATAGAAAAAAGCCTGCATGGTTAACAAACAAAGTAATGGAAGCTGTGAAAGGTAAAAAGGATTCCTTTAAGCAGTGGAAAGCTAGTCACAGTGAGGCTGATAAAACGGAACACAGGCTATGGGAAATAAAATGCAAGTCTGTGGTCAGGCAGGCAAAAAGGGAATATGAGGAGCATATAGAGAAAAACGTAAAGACCAACAATAAAACTTTCTTCAAATACATTAGAAGCAGGAAACCGGCCAAGGAGGCAGTGGGGCCCTTGGATGACCAAGGGGTAAAAGGAGTACTGAAGGATGATAGGGAAATGGCTGAGAAACAGAGAGGAGGTCCTAAAACTGATAGACAACTTAAAAACTGATAAATCACCAGGCCCAGATGGCATACATCCGAGAGTTCTGAAAGAACTCAAATGTGAACTTGTGGA